AGGCAAATGAGTACCAAATTCTCAAACCTGTTGATGTTGTTGGCAAAGAACCAGATAATGTGATGGATCTAACAGATGATGGGACTGAGAAGGAATCATTGAAGAATTTACCTAGTCTGCGTAAGCCTCATCAACTTGATGTTAATAAAACTCTTCCACCTATCAGAAGCATCTCACAGGTTTCCTCTCTGAAGAAGAGTTCTTCTAGTATTGATAATTCAAAGTTTTCGGCGGCAGTTGTGGCAGAGAAAGATGTTTCAGTAAGCTCCAGAAATATTGTTAAAGAGCTTCCCGCTACAAACGCTGAACCAAGCAAGGTTGGTAGTATGAGTAGGGAAGCAGAAAACAGACAGAATGTAGGAGGTCCTCTTTCATCTGAAAACAGAGCCAACTTAAAAAATGCTACTGATGAAGTCATCTCTCGTGGAACTTCAAAAGAGGCCCAGAAATCTGTGATTTCCAACACAAAAGGCGTGGATTTGAAAAAGGTGGTGAATGAGACAGAGGTTGATCCACTGGACTTGGCACTTAAATCTCTGAAACCACAGTCATTACCCCTGGCAAAACCAGCGCCCATTGCTCCCAAACGACAAGTGATTCAACTTTGTGCACCTGTTAATAAGAGGTCCGACCGGTGGCAGAAGCAAGAAGCTGGATTTAAAAGATTCAGGCCACCAAAGCTAGAAGATTGGTTTAGAAAGATTTTGCAAATGGACTACTATGCAATAGTGGGATTGGCGTCAATGAATAAAGATGAGAATAAGAATGTCGGAAAGTTTAGGGAAGTTCCAGTGCGCTTTGGCTCACCTGAGCAATATATGCAGATTTTCCAGCCCTTGGTTCTAGAAGAGTTTAAAGCACAATTGCAAAGTTCCTTCCAGGAGATATCGTCACTGGAGGAGATATATTACGGTGTTCTGTCAGTTTTATCAATTGAAAGGGTAGACGATTTTCAGTTTGTTCGTTTTATGCAAGACGAAAATGATGACCCCAACTCGAAAAGTTTCTCTGAGAATGACTTGATTTTGTTCACAAAAGAGCATCCAGAAAATAGTAGTGCCGGTGTTAATATGTTGGGAAAGGTATGTAGTATTTTTTTTTGCTTGCTTGTGCATGATAAAAGTAGAATCAGGAAAGCGGATGCTTTAAAGCCACCAAGGTACTTTAGTATCTGGTTTGATATATGCAGGAAAACGCCAGTGAAATTTGATTTGATTAGGTTTACTATGAGTAAAGGGTTATCCCTGATGTTCTAATACTTGAACGTAATTGTTGGATAAAAGAATTTGTAATAAAACAGAATGATCAGGAGAAAGATTTAGGTTTTGTTAGCTTGTTCCTTTTCATCTAATTTCTCGCATTTCCATTTTGATCGTTACTGACCTTGCTGTTTCTTAGGTGGAAGGACGGGAATGGGATGATAAGAAACGATCCAGTATTTTGAATGTACGCTTATATCTTCAGAATGCGTCTTCACGACTAAATCAAGCTAGACGGAATCTCTTGGAACGTAGCCAGTGGCATGCAAGTCGCATTCTGAACATTACATCCCAAATTAGAGAATTTCAAGCTCTGTCCTCCATTAAGGATATTCCCGTTCTTCCTGTGATTCTAAGTCCTATGAGTGATTCTAACTATGATTCTGAAATTAAAAGATCAGATCTGCGTTTACTACCACATTCTCTACAGAAAATACTCAAATCTTCTTTCAATGAGAGTCAACTTCAGGCTATTAGTGTAGCCATTGGCTCATCCAATTTGACGAAAGCTTTTGACATATCACTTATTCAGGGTCCTCCAGGTTAGTCTTTTTCTTCCTTGTACTATGGCATCTTAGGCTAGTCTTTGATATTTGATGATAGTAAAGAAAGTTTGTTTGCTTGATAGGAACTGGCAAGACTCGCACTATTGTTGCCATTATTAGTGGTTTACTTGCATCGGTTTCACGTAAAACAAGTGACAATGGAAATTCTGAGCAAGGTAGTTCTTCTACAACATCTAGGCAGAGATTGAATCCAAATGTGGCTATTGCAAGGGTATGGCAAGATGCAGCTCTGGCTAAACAGCTAGATGATGATGGGGAAACAAATAAAAAGATGGCAGAAAAGGTTGGTAGGGGAAGGGTACTGATCTGCGCTCAGTCAAATGCAGCCGTTGATGAATTAGTCTCAAGAATATCTAGCTTAGGTATCTATGGCAAGGATGGGAAAATGTTCAAACCGTATCTTGTAAGGGTTGGAAATGCTAAAACTGTTCATCCAAATTCAATGCCCTTCTTTCTGGATACCCTTGTCGATCAGCGTTTAGCAGAGGAGAGGATGCGGATAAACAAAGCTAAGACTAATAAGGGTGCAGATTCTTCTGCGTTGCTGCGCAGTAATTTAGAAAAGGTCGTTGATCAGATCACCCAGTTTGAAGCGAAGCGTGCAAACTTAAACCAGGAAAGTTTAGACGCCAAAGATAAGTTGGGGAGTAAAAACCTCACCAAAGAAGATGATGGCAAGCCAATGTCTGATGCAGAGCTAGGAATAAGATTGCGGAGGCTTTATGAACAAAAGAAAAATATTTACAAAGATCTTAGTGCTGTTCAGGCTCAAGAGAGAAAAGCTAACAATGAAATTAGAGCATTGAAGCATAAGCTGCGTAAGTCAATTCTTAAAGAAGCCCAAATAGTCGTTACGACTTTAAGTGGATGTGGAGGAGACTTGTATAGCGTGTGTGCTGAATCTTTATCAGCCCACAAATTTGGAAATCCATCTGAAGATAATTTATTCGATGCCGTAGTTATCGACGAAGCAGCTCAGGTGATTATTTTATATGCTTGATTGTTTTGCATAGTTGTTCTTGTCATAACTCGTTACTACTTTGCTCTTTTGGCTTAACAGGCTCTGGAACCAGCTACCTTGATTCCTCTACAGCTGTTAAAGTCAAGAGGAACAAAATGCATAATGGTGAGAAATCGTTCACCGCATCACAGAATTTTTTTTTGTTTTGGTTGTGAAATTTACATTTTTATATAATAAGTTGCCTATTATTAAAGGTTGGAGATCCAAAGCAGCTTCCAGCGACCGTTCTCTCCAACATTGCAAGCAAATTTTTGTATGAATGCAGCATGTTTGAACGTTTACAAAGGGCTGGGTACCCTATCCTTATGCTTACCCAGCAGGTATAATGACTATTTGGCTTTTTGGGTGTTGAGTTTTAGTTTTACTTTCACAATGTTTTCTTTTTCTTATGTGTGTTTTAAACTGGAAAATTGTCTGTCTCTGAATTTTCAGTACAGAATGCATCCAGAGATTTGTCGATTCCCGTCTATGCACTTCTACGACAATAAGTTGTTAAATGGAGTTGACATGTCAAGCAAATCAGCCCCTTTTCATGAAAGCAATTATCTTGGACCATATATTTTCTATGATATTGTTGATGGTCAAGAGCATCGAAGTGGGGATTCCAGCTCCGTGTGCAATGAACAAGAAGCTGAAGCTGCTGTTCAATTGCTTAAATTTTTCAAAAAGAGGTCTTAATCATCTTAAGCACCACTTTGTTCACCTACGGTTCAAAAAGTTATTTAATGTTGTTTATTTCACTGGTGGCTTGTTGCTTACAGATACCCCTCGGAATTTGTCGCTGGAAGGATTGGCGTCATCACGCCCTACAAGCGCCAGCTTGCGGTTCTGCGTTCTCGTTTCTCTAGTGCATTTGGATCTCAAGTAGCAGCAGATATGGAACTGAATACTGTGGATGGCTTTCAAGGCAGAGAGGTTGACATATTAGTCTTATCCACTGTAAGAGCTACTCATTCTGCACCTGATGGAAGCAATCAAAGTCGGATTGGTTTTGTTGCAGATGTTAGACGCATGAATGTTGCTCTCACAAGAGCCAAACTCTCCCTTTGGGTTTTGGGTAACACACGAACCTTGCAGAGAGACCATAATTGGGGTGCCTTGGTGAAAGATGCAAAGGAAAGAGAAGTTATCATACCAGTTAAGAAACCGTACAACTACATGTTTGGCGAGGAAAAGACGGAACAGCAGCATTTTGAGCCTGAGAAAAAGCATTCGCGCCGCAAAGAGAGCAATCAGAGCAGAAGAAAAGCCAAAGAAGAGGCTTCTTCTCAAAGGGAAAAACTGGCTGCAAGCAGTGAGAAAGTAACATCCGAAGTGAATCCTAGGCGGAATCAAGAAAAGAGAGAAAAGATGAAAGCTACAGAGAAAAGCAGTAATCCAGATGTAAATAGTTCGAAGAACGAAGATCCAAATGCATTGAAGAAATCTAAGAAGGCTTCATCAAAGCTTGATAGCAACAAGAGGGCTAACCCCACAGATGAAATTGAACAGAGAGATAGACAAATAAGCAAAGGCAATGCTTCTAATCAAGGAGGTGTTGAAGATATGATATCCAAACGGAAACAACAGCGTGAAGCTGTTGCTGCCATTCTAAATTCGTCTCTGATTCCTTCACATAAGCCCAGACAATCAAAGCGACCTTTGTCCCCAAGCACAACTGCAAGCAGTCACACAAGACCGCCTAAAGCGATCAAAGGTAATATATCTCTTCATAAATGATTGTTTTGCCTCAGATGGTCCTATGTCTGAATGCTGAAAATTTTCAATGCACTCTTCTAATTTGCAGATTCCACCAAGAACAACAGTAAACAAAGATAACGAACAAGCAACTGATTTCACAACCGTTATTTCCCACAATCGTCGTGAACCAGTTTCGAATTGTCAGTTTTCTGGGTAAGACTTATACATTCCTCTGGCATCTTCAAAGGTTCTCTCAAGTACAAACTCAAAAACTAGCATTTGGGAAGAAATTTTTTTTGCTAACCTATAATGAATAGCCCGGGGCTTAAAAATAAGTTTGTCAACTCCAATTTTGGCTGTAAAGTTGTCTGCTAAGAATATTTTTGTTCTGTATATGATTTTTTTTTTTTGATACATGCCAATTAATTTTACATTTTTTCTGTTTCTTCGACGGATTAGTTGGGCTAATTTTTTGATCAGATTTTTTGTTCCAACAGTACAAAAATTGAAATCCGCTTGACACTGAAACCCAATTTCGCTAATACAACATCGGAGTAAAAAAAACCTCATATGAAACCAAATCAATGGAGAATATTCCTTTCCTAACATTTCAAGAGGCCGATGACGGATCTGTCCCACTCTTAACGGCGGACCAAACTTGGCCAATGCCACTGGCAACGTGAGGCCAGACGGCGTTAATTCCGTTAAGTGCTGCACCAGAAGCTAACCCTAAGACGAAAGTCTCAGCGTATCCAGGTTTCGTCTCCAACTTGGCGTCGACGACGGCAAGCCTTCCATTAATGGCGTCAATCTTCCTCGCGTCGGTTAAAAGCTTATCCTTACTGGAGGCGTTCTTCGAGGATGAAATGACTCGGACGAGCGCGTTTTGTAGGTCTTCGATGACTCTAACCGAGGCTTCAGCTGGTTCGAGCCCTCGTTTCTGGTAGTGAGAGATTAGCTCCGTTGCTGTTGGGAATTTCTTCGATTTCTGCTTTGCTCCGGTCTGATTTTGCTCTGCACTGGTTTCCTCCGCCGCGTTCGGTGTCGCCGGTTGCTTCATCTTCTTCTTCTCCGGAGAAACAATTAGAGTGTGATTCTCTTATCTGGAGATGGAAATAATTTTATTTTATGAAATAAAAAAGAATTTTGAATCTGTAAAAAAAAAAATTTCGTGGACCGTCTATTGGGCTCGGGCCCACGAATAGGTGAATCGTTTTAAATGATAAGCCTTATTGCCAATGGTTTACGCCTAGAAAGTTCAACATATTTACAGAAGAACAAGGAACCAGGTTATATGGATTCAATACAAAACTTGACACTAAGAGAACACATCACCATTTTACCCAAAAAGAAAGGATTATAACCTAAAGTCGTCCATATACTTTAAACATTAGCTATGATCTAACTGTAATAATATTAGCTACTGAACATCGACCATTAGTCCCATGTACCGCGAAGTAGAGGAGTAGCTTCAACGTCGTCCCCGAAAGTCTTTAAAAGATCGCACGTGGACTCATCGCCATCACCGTCAGGCTCCAGCTCCATCCCTAACTCTTCCTCTATGTCGTCGGACGCCGAGATGAGTAAAAACTCGCATCCTTCATAATTCAGGAAATCGGGCGGGTCGGCTGCCCCAAACCGGGTATGACCTAAATGGGCCTGAAGATGGGCGGGAAACTGGGCTTTTCTCTTTCTCTTCAGCCCACCAAACCCTGACCTTCCTCCTCCTCCTTGATCTGGGTTTCGTATTTGGATCAAGAAAGAGCCTTCACATTCGATGTTCAGCGACTCTTGTGGCTCGTGTTCTCTAGTCTGCGATTCCGATGGGAATTCGAGTTTGTAGACAAGATGTGTATGGTGTTTTCTTGTCGGAGAAGGTTTATGTCGGAGAATTCGGTAGATTCCTTCCCCGACAGCTCTCGCCGGCGGATTGTGTCTCTGTCCTCGAGTCTTCGTCTCGTACTCCTCTGCATAACAGATCTAATTCACCAACTAGTTCTTGAATCCCATAAATAACAAGCACGAGATTTTTACCTCCTTTAAGAGCATTTTTAACATCTTCAACATTCGTAGTCACCATCTCCACAAATCCCCAAAAAGGTTGTGATTTCTTGCTCGGATCAGGAAGAGTTTTCTTACCCATCACAATGAATCGTAACAGAATCAGTTTCTCGATGTTCACTTTCTGCAAAAGAAAAACCCAAATCGAGATTAAAACATAATAATCCCCGAGTAACAGATTAATCATTAATCCGTAGTGTATTGTTTCTTCTTCTACCTCAACGCCATGTCCTCCTTCACCTCCGTTCTTGGCGACGGAGGAGGAGCTACTTCCCACGTCTCCGTCACCGGAATCTTTATCGGAACCTTCTTTACCAGAGAGAGGCTCTTGTTTCTCCTCGACGGGATTCTCACCAGACTCTGGACGCATCACTATGTATAACCTTTGAACATCGTCCAAACTGTGAGCTTCTTCTTTGTTAACCTTTGGCCTATAAAAGAAGAATATTTCTCCTCGTTCCTGATTAACAAAGTCAGTTTTCGAGAAACAGAGCGATAAAATCTTAAGAAAAACAGCCTAAGAAAAAACAGAGAAAGGCAATATAAAAACCTGAATCTCAACTTCAGGATCTGGTCTCGTCTTAACTTCTTTACCTTGTCCCATTGCTAGACTTCTCAATACAAATATTTCTCTTTACCTTTCCAAAACAACTTCTCTTTTAAACTACCCAACCAAAAAAAAAAAAAAAACTGTTTTCGTCTTAGGTAGTTAACACTTGACAACGTTATAACACTCCCACGTTCTCCTTACTGTGTATTACGTGTCGAACAAACATATGACTCACTTGTCAAAACTACTAATCTTAAAATATATACTTCATATTTTGTCCAACATAAAAATGTGCATTGGAAATTCAATTTTCCCTTGTATATACATATATTGTTTCTTAAATCGAAAACACAACTTTTGGGTTGGCTCTACTTTTCAAATTACAGACACCTTTCTTCTTTAGCTCAAAACAAGCAACTTTTTGTTTTTCCTGAATATATGTTGCTCTTGGCTTTCTTCTACTGGAGTTTATCTCCTGCAATCATGAATACATCAACAAGATTCAGACATAAACTTAATATGACACAAGAGAGTGTGATAAAGAGAGTGTCATATCTTACCAGATTCCTTCTCGGTTCTCAAAACTATGGGTTTGACATAGAAGATCCTGCATTCGATATAGAAGGAGCACTCCTACCTTCCTGCAATTCCCCACAAAAAATAAAAAGGAAAAAAGAAAATCAAACATCGTAGATATATATATATATATATATATATATATATATATATATATATAGAATCAAATGTTATGCAATGTCTTCAAAAATAAAACAAAAACATACCGATGTATAAGAGACTTGGCTAGAAAGTGACAACCGTCCTTGTCCAGAATAAAACACACTCTCAAGACTCTCTTCACCAATCTCTCTGAGTCTATTAAGCTCAGGCATCACTTCTTTACCAAGATCAGGCCTATCTTTTCTTCTCAGCTCAGCACACTGCAGAGATAACTTGGCAAGAGACAAAGCTTCCTCTAATGGCCAATCTGGTACTGCAGGATCAAGCATATCTTTAAGTGTCCCTTCTTCGATCGCTTGTTCCACATAATAAGCCAAACCCATTGGCTGTTTCGCAGTCAAAAGCTGCAAAAGCATGATTCCGAGTGAATAAACATCCGATTTCACACCCAACATCCCGGTTTGTTGATACTCAGGGTCGATGTAACAGAAAGTTCCTGCAGCTGACGTGACTCTGTACTGAGTCACGTTCTCTGCAACGGCGGGGACTAGTCTCGCAAGCCCGACATCGCTGATCTTGCTGACGTAATTGTGGTCGAGAAGAACGTTTCCTGGTTTCAAGTCTCTGTGGACAATTGGCTCTGGTTTGGTCTGGTGGAGGAAAAGGAGTCCCGTAGCGATCTCCGCAGCGATTCTGAAACGCAGTTGCCAGGAAATCGGCGGCGTGTTTCCGCGTCTGAAAAGACGGTCATCTAAGCTTCCTTTGGCCATGTATTCGTAGACGAGAATTCCGTATTCTGGACAAGCTCCTAAGAGAAGCACCATGTTTGGATGCCTTATGCAGCTTAGTACTTCAACCTGTGAGTCAAAACACACATCAAGTTTCAAACTTTGTCATTCAAAAACCATTTGCTTGTAACACAAGTTAACCATAACGAACCGAAAATAACAAAACAAAACAACCTCTTTCTTCTGACACAAGTAAATAATAGGTCTCCGGGTTTTTTAATTCAACGACTTTTAGGAATTTTAACCCTTGACTCAATGAATTACCTCTTTGTGAAACTGTGATCTTCCTTGAGCAGCGTCAGGGCGTAAAACCTTAACAGCAACACTTGTGTGATCAAGATGACCTCTAAACACAGGACCATAGCCTCCTTCTCCTACTTTTCTTGAATCTGCGAAATTCCCAGTTGCTTCTTCGATTTCTTGAACAGTATATTTCCTGTATCGAACGATGCTATGTCGAGAGAAAGAACCGCTTTCTTTTAGTGCCTTCATCTCTGCGGTTAGTCTTTTCTTTGCTTCTACTTCCGCAAGCCTATTTGCAGCTTCAGCAGCTTCCATGGCAGTTTTGGCTTTTGCTCTCTCCTTTTCCACCATTGACATTGCTGTCTCCTCTGTCATCTTTAATTCTTCCATTCTTCTTTCCTCTTCTGACCTCAGTTTTTGCAGCTCTGTCGCCTAAAACAGAGTTTTAAGCAATTGAAATTTCAGTTTGGCTTTGATGAATTTAACCACTTGAGAAACCGATAAGGATGTATGATACCTCGTGCCTTGCGGTTAAAGCTTCTCTACAAGCTGAGCTATACATATCCATGGTTTGTTTTAGCTCTAAACGCAGTCTCCTCATTTGAGCTTCAACATCATCCTACAACAAATCAAAGGTTTCCATGGAATGTAACTAAATCGAATCTACAAGACATAAAAAAAAAAAAAAAAAAAAACTGAATTAGATGATAACTTATACCAAGCTCTGAGATGAATATGAGCAAGAAGTTCTTCCACTCTCATCAGAAACCGTAGAAGAATTATTGAGATAACCCAAATCCGTAAACTTGATTCCTAATCTATGTGACCCAATGCTCTGCTCTGAGCTCGTTGACATTCTTGAGGTTCTTGCTGATTCTGGTAAATCGTATGTAAAAGAAGACCGATCTGCACTCGGCCTCCCCGAGCTGGCAAAAGAAATGTCGGATTCGTGTTGTGAAGCACTTATGAATGAGAATTCCGACTCTGAATCTGAGAAATCCCCCATCAATCTCATATGTGCTTGTGGTGGTTTCGCAAACCCTGATCTACACAAAATCGAAACCAAGATTCAAGTAATCACACTTAAAGAAACTTTACAGAATTCGATGAGTAATCTAATTAGAGTAATATACCTTGTACCATCTGAATCCACTGATCTTCGCGCCCTAGGCAATGCCGGTGTGTTAGCTGTTGAAAACAAGAAAGATGGGGAGAGTTAATGAATGTGTTGAATTGCTTGAAACGCAAGTAACATTTATTCTCAAGATTGATATACATACACTCACCTGTTTTATGTTTTTTCTGATTGGCAAAAGTTTCGTGATTGTTGTCAAACTCGCTGGGGACTGATGAACGGTAAGGAGCAGGACGCGAGGCGTTTCTTACCGAAGATATTTTTCCTTTAGAAATGACATAAACATTGCAAAAATCTGGAGCTGCTTTTGATACACTCGTTGGTAAATCCGTTTTGAATCTTCTGTTGAGGATCAAATTTTGAAAAAAGAAACCCTAGTTTTGGTTAATATTCTGTTGCACGCAATCACTCAGTCAAAAGTCACATCATTTTTATCACCTCATAAAGCTATTCCTTGATGGAGCACCAAGAACTAAATTCTCAATTGCGGAAACTGTAACATATTCGACAATTGCTTTGACTTTGTCTACATCTTCAAGCAAAACGTCCATGCAATTTATCTGCATGAATGAAGCCAAAATTACAAAATCGATTTTGATAAAGCCCTCAATTTCGTTTATTATTATTATTATCATCATTTGCCTCTTT